CCGGGGTCCGCGGCTCCCGGCTGCAGAAGCGGGCTCGCCGCAGGCTGGAGCGGGGTCCCGAGTCGCCCGGGGAAGCTCCCTCCTGCGCTCACCACCCGCCTTCCCCCCCGCTCCTCTCTGCCAGCCCGAGGGACGCCCCCGGCCGGGCTGGGCGGGTTCAGAGTCCACCGCCCCCCTTTAACGGAGGCAGAAACCCAGGCCCAGGCCGGGGAGGTGAACGGATCAGAGTCACCGGGGAAGTCAGCGATGGAGGGAGAGCGAGGAGCCCAGGGCGGCGGGCGGCTGGCGGCCAGCTCTTCCTCTTTTGTGATAGAAAACTCAGTCTTGGCACCTCGGGCTCAAGGTCACGGTGGTCCATGAGCTTCTTTTCTTTCTTTCTTTTTTTAAAATATATTTTTATTGATTTCAGAGAGGAAGGGAGAGGGAGAGGGAGAGAAATATCAGTGATGAGAGAGAATCATGGATTGGCTGCCTCCTGCACGCCTCCTACTGGGGATGGAGCCCGCAACCAGGGCATGTGCCTTTGATGGAATCGAACCTGGGACCTTTTAGTCCACAGGCCCGTGCTCTATCCACTGAGCCAAACCGGCTGGGCCATGAGCTTCTTTTCTTCCCCATCTCTGATGGGGCTGAACACTCTTCAGGTTGGGCTGCCCTCCCCCTTCTCCCCTCCTCCAGCGTGTCCTCGATTTTAATTTATTCCCCAGAGCCCAGCTGGTCATGGAGTGTAGCCCAAGCAGCTGCAGTGGTTACCCTCTTCCACGCCAGGCCGGAGGGGTAGTGCCAGCGTCATTCCTTCAGCCATTCATTCAAAACAGATTTACTGAGGATCTGTTAGGTACCAGGCGCCATTCTAAGCCCCAGGGAGGGATCACCCCCTCCCTCACCGAGCTGGCATCCTGGCAGAGGAGACGCACCGTGAGTGAGGAAATAAACACAGATGCCCTCCAGCGGGCTCCGTGCTGCACACCGTGAGGTTGGGGGGGGTGGTGGCATTTGAAAGCGTGGCCGGGACAGGCCTCTTGGAAGAGGTGGCATCTTGGTCTCAAAGTTCCCGTGTGGACAGGAAACTTTTAAAGGCCCCTGTCAGCTCTGAGGAAGGAAGGGGTCTGCTCTGTTTTTTAACTCCTGGAGGAGTGACCATCGTGTCCATAGGTGGAGGTTTTGTCAGCCTTCTCCGGGGTCCTGCCTGGTCTTTTGACTTGAGAGACGCACTGGCCTGTCACCTCTGGTCAGAGGCAGCCTCTCGGAAGGGGCTGGTGGGATTGGACTGAGGAGTTTTCTATGACCTGGAGAGTCTTCTGACCTAAAGATGGTCTTAGCACTCGGATTCTAAACACTGGGTCTTTGGTGACGCACACCCCCATGTGGTCTCAGTTTCCCCATGTGTCACAGGAGCCCCAGAGTTGTCTGGGGCCGGATGCACGTCTGTGCTCTACTAGGGAGGACGTCTGGGGTGGTTGCACAGCAGCCAGAGTTTGGGAGGGGGGTCTCTGGGTTGGTGGGGGTCTGGTGGGGGTCCCTGTGTATATGTTGGGGGACATGTATCTGTAGAGGGGGTTAGGCCGTACTGTCCTGTGGGTGGTCATCGGGGCGGCTGTGTATCTCACTGTGTCTGCTTCTCTTTCTTCCCAGGGTAAAGTCGAGTATCTGGTGAAGTGGAAAGGATGGCCCCCAAAGTAAGGTCCTTTGTGTGTGCGTCTGCCTGCCCGCCCCTCCCTCCACCCGCCGGTGCCCTCTCTCCTGCCTGACTTTCAGCTCCAGCTGCTCTAGCTTGGCCAGCGGGCCTTGATGAGATCATCTTCTCTAGCTTTCAGTTGCCCCTCTGCCAGCTGAGGGGCTTGGAGCACATGAGGGTCAAGGCAGGCCCCAGTTACCCTTCTCACATCCCTCAAGTTAAGTTCCATCTCTGGTTGGAGGCACCTCCCCCCCCCCCCTCCTCCCCCGCTTTCTGGTTTTTCTTGGCACCTGGCTGGTGAAGGCCCAGCATCTAGGGTTCAGAGATGCCTGCTGGAGGAGTGGAGGGGCTGGGCAGGGGTTTATGAGACTGGGTAAGACAAGGCTAGCCAGCGGCGCATGAGTCCTCAGTGACATAGAACTAGGGACAGTCTGAGCCCACCTTGCCTTTGGACAGCTCTCTCCAATCTACAGAGCAGGTTCCCATTCAGTCTTGTGAGGCAGGTGGGGTAGTAACCTCTCTAAAAGATATAGAAAGATATAGGCTCAGAGAAGGTAGGCAGCTTGCCTTGGATCACACAGCAAGTGAGGTCAGAGTTGAACTAGGCCTCCCCATTTTCAGGTACCTCCTCTGTGCCTCCTCCATCTCAGAGTTGGGGGGCAGGGAGCTGGTCTAGGACCTCTCCCAGTCTCTCCACCTCTCATGCTAAGACCCAATTAGAACCTTCACACCAGCCAATCACCTCCCAGCAGGGAGTTATTTGAAGAGGGTGGGGAAGGAGGGAGTCGTGGGGCCTTCCCATTGGTCTGTAGGTGCCCCACCCCCCTGCCCTGCCAGTAGAAACTAGCTCCTGGAATCCCCCTCTACTCAGAGCCTCTGCTGTCTGTGCCAGGCACTTTCTGCAGTGCTGTGCTGAAGGGGGGGTGGGGGTGGGTGGGGTGGGAGGGGTGACGACTGACCTGTATTGGGTCCTGGAAGTGTCTGGGGGCATGGTGGAGAAGACAGCAGAGAGGACATGGCCCATGCTGCCTCAGCATCCGTATGTGCAAAATGGGTTCAATAGTCAAGGCCCTGCCCCTCCCCCCACAGGCTTCTTTACCTTGTGGAGCATCCTGATGATTCGAGTTGGTGGCTGGCCAAGCAGATAATGCATTTGTCCATTCCTCCTGTCCCTCCTGCCCCTTCCCAGACACCCCAGGACTGAAGGAGGGTCCCTTACTCTCTGGGCAGATGAGGCGTGGACTTCCAGCCTGAGTGCAGGACAGTAAGAGTGCGGGAGGACTAGACAAGGGTGCCGGGGCAGCAGGAGCATGGGCTCCCTGAGCACTGGCGCCCCTGGCTTCTGCACCAGAAGGCATCGCATGGGGGTGTGGTCCCAGCCCAGTAGCCTTCAAGGCACGGTTGGCTATTTGTCCTCCTCTAGACTCCGTCTCTTGAAAGACTTCCTCCTTTAAACAGCGGCACTTATGCCACTTTTATTAATCCCAGTGAACATGTCTGCCCATCGGAGCTTCCATCAGCAGGAAGGACGAAGAGCTCTAGCAGCAGTCCCTCCCTGTTTCTGCTGGCTGAGCCCCAGCCCTGGGCCCACTTGTTTCTTAACATGATGGGACCAATAGATGGGCTTTCATGACCTTTATGACCTCCTCAAGGGGTTCTGGGAGCTCTGTTTGACCAGATGACAGGTGCACTTCTGGCTCCCCCACACTTTGATCCTGGGTTCCTATCCACCCGTGAGCCCCAGGAAGGTAGTTCCTAGGAAAGGTCATAAGAATAGAATTGCCAACTCCATGCAGCATGGTCCCCACTTCATGCCATTCACTGTGTCCCCCACTTCACTTGGGGGAAACTGAGCTTCAGTCAGAGGGAGAAGCAGGAGCTCCTCTGTAACCCATTTGGTCTTCTGTCTCCCCTCGCCAGGGGGTCTGGCTTGGACCCGAGGCTGAGACAGCAGGTGGGGAGTGGGGAGTGGGGCAGGCTGCAACCTGCAGGCCTGGGAGCCTTGGCTAGGGCAGTGCCAGCCTCAGCGGGGAGGGGATCCAGATCCTCCCGCTCCTCACCCTGCCAGGGAGGCCTATATTAACGACAGAAATAGCAGAATGCTCTCCCTGTGCCTGTTCAGCCACATGCTTTGCCTGTTTTCTCTCCAAACGGCAAAAATAATGACTGCCGTTCCTCCCCAGCAGGTGGGGCAGAGGAGCTGTCTTGGTAGTTATGGAAGGTACAGCAAATAGCACGGAAAAGGGCTGGGGTCACAGGGTAGAGGATGTTAAATCAGCTGCTGGTGCTCTCAGCCCCGAAGAAACCCTCAGACATCCTACTCTGATTGCAATCTGCCCAGGACTGCGGTCCGCTACCGCACCTTCTAGGGTGGACCGCCTCCATGGAGCTTTCCTAATGTTATTGTCAGTGGGCACAGCAATAACCAGGCTGCTCATCAGTAAGTCCCTAGTATGATCAGACATTGCCTATTGATTTATGGCAACCCATTTTACAGATGGGAAGACAGAAATCCTCAGCAGAGGAGCCCTCGCCCAGGGCCGTACAGCTGGGGTGATTTGAATGACGGGATGCCTGCCCCCAGGGCTTGCAGGTCTAGCCACTTTGATACACAGTGGGCTCTGGCAAAGGTGACCCAGGGTGATGGCCTGATGGTCCACTCAGTGGGACGTGCTCAGGCTGTGGAGTCAGACCAGGCTGCCTTTGAACTCAGTTCTATATAGTTAACAACTGTACGACCCCAGGCACAGCCCTCAGTCCCTCTGCATCTCCATCTCGCTACGTGTAAAAAGGAGGCCCCAGCCGCACAGAGCCCGCCGCGGGCTGCCCCAGACGTAAGGCACACGGTTCCTAACGGTGTCGGAGGGACGCAGGGAGGGCGCTTCTCCCTCCTCCAGGACGGTTTGGAGTCCAGGATGCGGGCCTGGCAGCTTCTAGTGCTCTCTAGGCTTTCGAAATGGATTTAATTAATGTGTATTTGCTTTCATTATGTACCGTACTGAACTAAGTGCGCCACAGGCTAACACAGCTAATAGTCACATCAACCCTAGGGACTACTTTGGTAGCCCCCCTTCATGCAGAGGTAAAGAGACGGGAATCACTTGCTCAAAGCCACCCCTGCGGGCTGGCCCCCCAACCCCGCGGCTGCATCTCATTTGAGCCGCATTATATTGTGGGGGAGGCTGGAGCGGGCCTTGGTCAGTGGGGCGCCCCGCCCCCAGCACAGCCGGAGCCTGCGCACACGGGGCTGGAGCAACTGCCGCTGCCTGTTTACCCAGCCGGGCCGGGCTGCGGTCATGTGGCCGTGTTTACCTCCCAGCGGGCACGCGCCGTCCCCGCCCCAGCCCCCATTGGTTGGCCCGGTCATCCGGACGCGCCTCCTGCGTGCGCGCGCGCGGCTCCGGTGCTGCGGGGAGAGGGCGGGCGGGGCGGGGCCAAGTGGTCCCCCGCCTCCTACGGAGCGCCCCGTTCCCTCCCAGTTCGTTCCCAGTTCCCCAGCCCGCCCGCTGTCGCCTAGGTTGTGGACCAAGCCGCCTCCTGTCCTTGCGCCCGGCTGTTCCCGAGTCGGGTTTGCCTCTGGATCGCCACTCCTTGCTGTTAATGGGCACTGTGGCCTCCATTTTGGGGGAGCCCCGGGTGTTCGACAGATACTTGTGCAACCCACCTCCCCTTGCCCGCCCTTCGCACGGAGCAGGGCCAGGCCTCCTGCTGCCAGGTCTGAGCCTGTGCTCTTGCCTCAGATCCCACGGATGGAAGCCCCATGCTAATAACAGGCCCCTCTGAATCTACCAACCTTTTCCGTGCACCTACTGTGTGCCAGGCCCCCAGGTCAGACACCGAGGACTTGGTTAGTTCGGCAGTGCCTCTCTCCCAAGGACATCCCAGCTCAGTGCACGACATGTGAGGTACCCGAAGGTAGAGTGTGGCCGAGATTGAGCTGAGTTCCAACCACAGACTGCCCACTCGCTGTCACAGTGGCCTTGGCAAGATGCTACCCTCGGGCCTCAGTGTCTGCATCTATAAAATGGGTCACCTACCTCTTACGGGTGTTGAGAGGAATGGATGAGTCCCTGGCAGTAGTCTGCGCTCACTCCTTGCTGTTAATGGCTGTGGTGCTGCTAGTGGTTCTAAGATGAGGAAACTGGGATCCAGAGAATATTAGGGACTTGCCAGGAACCACACTGCAGCAACATCAACAAAACTGGGTGAGGAGGTGGGGAAGTGGGCAGGGCAGAGAGGACTAGAACAAGACAGGGACATTTCAACAGCCAGAGAAAGAGGAGGCAGCCCACAGCAGGAACACAAAACTCCCCCTATAACTAGTTTCAGCTGAGAAAACCCAACCTTGAGGAAATAAAACTGTGAGCCTCTGGTTGGTCATAGTTTGGGTTTTACCAAAATATACATGTAACCAGTTTTAGTTTCACTTTCTTTTTCTTTTTTCTTTTTTTTTTTTAGTTTCACATTTCTTCGGGGTGAAACTGCAGTGGCTTCTAGAGCCATTCCCAGAGCACCTGGCGGCTGGGCCTGGGCTGAGTGCTTTGGGGAGGGGTTACATCTGCCCACCAGGGCGCCAGCTGCACTCAGTAATTATGGCAGGTGCCAAGGGCAGCGAGGGGAGAGGGGATGAGAGGATCGTTCGTCCTGCTGCGAGTGGCACAGCTGGGAGAGGAGCTGTAAGAACCTGGCTCTTGAAGGATGAGTGGAGTCCTCTGGAGGGACTGTCCAGGCGACTGCATAGCGTGTACAAAGGAAGAGAGGCGACGTGCCTGCTCAGGCTGAGCCTGTGGCACTTGGGTATGGCTGTGTGGTCCTCAGGGCACAGCCCTTCATTGCTGGGTTACAGGCCGGACGGGGCCGACACGAAGTAGCCGTGCAGCAGTGTCCGTGGAGAGAAGGAGCCGAGGAGTCTGTTCTCGGGCAGCTTGTTGTTTGTGTCTGGACCGGACACCTGTAGGTTTCACAGTCCCAGGACCGTTTAAGATGAAGGTTTCGGCTTAGCTTGTTTGGAGGCCACAAGGCAGGGGCCATGCCCAGCCTCCTTCTGCTTCGTAATCCTCCCCTGAGACCTGCTCCTCTCCCTTCTTATCCAGCGGAGCCGGTGCCGCCTCCGCCAGGATCACAGTCCAGTGCTTAGGTTTTGCCTGTGCATGTACATGTGCACAGACACCCAAAGGCCTAATTGTACGTTTGTGTGTATATTTATTTATATGCATGCACATATGCACACATACATGTTTTAAAATTTTAATTTTTATGCACTAGCATCTGTTTATAGTGAGTGGTACTGTTTTTTCCAATTACAAAAATCATATACAGTTAGTTTTTTAAAAAAGTTAATAGATGAAGAAGTGAGCAGCTTAAAGGCAGATTCTAAGTAAATAACGGAGCAGTGGAACACGGGTGGCTGAGCTCAGGAAGTGCTGCACCGTCTCAGTCCAGGCCTGTCCCCGCAGGGAACACGCTCTGGTTGGGAGTGGAGGAGATCCCCAGGGAAAATCCTAGCGGGTCCTAGCCCTATGACTGGTGCTAGACATTTACCAAATTCCTGCTGTGTGCCAGGCCCCGCCACCAGGCACTTCACACCTGGCCTCGATGGCACAGATGTGTGCCCAGAAGGGAGGGAGCAGCTCAGACTGGCAAGAGAGGCTGTGCTGGGGCTGGGGTTTGAGAAAGGAGTGGGGATAGCAACAGTGATAAGCACAGAGCACTTCCTGTGTGTCAGGCCCTGCTCTAAACACTTAGACACACTATGCTTTTTCCAGCACAGTCTTTTGCAAATGGGGAAATCGAGGCACAAAGACCATAGGGAAATTATTCAAGGTTTTACAGCTTCCAAGGGCAGAGCTGGGATTTGAACCCAGGCAGCCTGTCTCAGAGCCCCTGCCCGTTACCACAGGCTCTTACCTCTTCTATGAAGGGCCTATGGGACGTACCGCCCTGCCCTCCCAGGTCTCCTGAGCTGCTGAGGTGGACATAGGTCTCATCACACCTTTTGTAGGTGGTATGGTGAGTGCTCCGAATGAGGGCATTCTGGTGCCATTGGAACCCCTAGGAGGCCCTGACCTCGCTTGGCTGGCCTGGGACAGCTCTGAGGAGTAGTTGACAATTTTCTGGACCAGGAAGGGGCGAGGGCCTGCAGACAGTGGGCCCTGGCGGAGCAACTGTGGCTTCTGTGAATGCAGGGGAGCGCGGGGCAGCTCTGACCTGTCGTTTCTCTCCCAGGTACAGCACGTGGGAGCCAGAGGAGCACATCCTGGACCCCCGCCTGGTCATGGCCTATGAGGAGAAGTAAGGGGCTCCGCCTGCACTGCCGGGCTGGTCCACAGGCCGCTGGGAGGTTTCCTAGGCAGCCTGCTCTGCCTTGGCTCTGAACAGGGCCCAGGCATGGGCTGGGTAGGGGTCCTGGCAGGGACACTCTGGTCGTGGCTACAGCTGGGGGAGGGTGGTGGGCACCAGCTCCAGGGCACCGGGGGCCCTGGTTACTTTCCTGTTGCTGGGTGATGTTGGCCACTTCCCTCCCCTCCCAGGCCTCGGTCTCTCTGCTGCCACGGGGCCACCCCAATAACTCCTGCTGCGGCTTCTCCATAAGGTAGGGGTTTCAGTCGCCGTGATGAATGTGAAATGTGTCCTAGTGATGCCCTACGTGTGAGGAGCAGCAATATCAGTAATGCCCACGCAGCCCTGGGGCAGAGACCAGAGACACGCACCCTGGAGGTCCCTTAGCAAGAGAGGACCACCTGATGAAGCTCAGGGAAGGCCTGTGGGAGGGCTGGTTCTGGTCCTCCCCACTCTGCCCCCTCCTAACTGAGTGGCCCTGGGCAAAGCCACCAGGGTCTCCGTCTCCCACATCTGCCAGCGCTCTGCTGAGATTCCAGGGTGGTTAGTGATTGGCAGCTCCTCCCATACCCATGAGGGCTGCTCTCAGCTGGGAGCCTTGGACAACATGTCCTCTCTGCTGGTGTGGGGCCCTGTGAGCAGAATCCAGCCATTCCCTCTGCTGTGAGGCCAGAGTTACTGAGCTCCTGCCAGCAGGCAGCCCGCATCCTGCAGCTTCTCCCCTAACACTGACCTGTCATTGTGGACCATCTCCTGAAATCAGTCCCTCTGGTCACCTCCTGAGGCAGGGATGAGGATCATCTGACAGATGGGGAAACTGAGGCTCTGAGGAGCTGTGGGACTTGTCCAGCAGCCTCCCAACTGGGAAAGAGCCCAACCCAGGCTCCTGACTGTACGCGGGAGGCCCTTCCTCTGCCCCTCAGGCCCCCTTCTCACCTCTTCCCCCAGGACATCTCCTGCTGCCCATTCAAAGGACCAGTTCTCACTGCTCCTGCCTTTAAAGATGAGGGTGACCTGTCCCACAGCTTCTTTCTGGTTCCCCAGTGCTTGTGGGGCCTTGACCAAAGTGGTGTGGCCCTGGGAGAGAGTTGGGCAGCATCACAGGCCTGGGTTAGAGTCCTGGCACCTGGCTCTGCCACCCACCAGCTGTGAGGTGTCAGGCAAGGCCTTTCCCTCTGAGCCTCGGCTTCCCCATCTGTGCGATGGGTATAAGGGGCCGACCTTTGGGGCTTGCTTGGGAGGCAAAGGTATGTGAACGTACTCTGCAGACCCGTGAGTGTGGGCGCACACGTGTGAGTATCTCCTGGTGATAATTAGGGGTCAGCTAGTCATTCTTTGGTTTCTTCAGCAAGTCTTGATTGAGATCATAGTATGTGCCAGGCACTGTTGCAGCGCTGGGGTCCCAGCCAGACACAACAGCAACAAATGTCCCTGCCCCATGTGGCTCACATCTGTGTGGAGACACACAATAAACAGTGCTCTAATGTATGTTTACCATATCAGAGGCTGACCCCTGCTGCAAAGGTAGGGAGAGGGGTCCTGGTTTCCTGGGGAGTGAGCTGGGGGTGTCTGAGCAGAGACCTGAGTGAAGTGAGGGAGTGAGCCCGGTGGGTCCTTTAGAGAACACCCAGGTGAGGCACAGGGAGTGCAGAGGCCCTGGGATGGGGGCCTGTGTGTGAGGAGCAGCCTGGAGGACAGTGTGGCTCTGAGTGTGGCGACTGGAGTGGGTGAGCTGGGAGGCCGTGGGGGTGAGGGAGGGTGGGGACAGTGTGGGAGGCAGGGGCATCTGAAGGAAGGGGTGGCACAGCTCAGGGAAGGCAGCGTGAGTCCTGGTAGTTGATTGGCGTGCTGTTTTGAGTCAGAAGTCAATAGTTAAGGACAAACTCGGAGACTTCTGCAGGCCCACTGTGTGACACTCTCACTCCTCTCAGTCTTGGTGAAAAGGAAGTAAAAGGCAGTGAGGCCCATTTAACACATGCTTTGCAGGGTTTTAATGAGACCCAGGAGGCTGGGGAGGGGGTTTCACTGGGGGGACCTGCACACCAGGGGGCACTGAGAGGCACTGGCTTACTGGGCCCTGACTCCTTGGCGGTCTCAGCTCTTTAGCCCTGGACACAAATGGTCAGAGCGTTTGACAGATACCAAGCTCTGAGTTGGTAAGGTTGGACAGAATGCAGGCCCCTGCCTCACCCTCTCACCTGCACTCCCTGCAGTTTGCAGACAAGAAAGGGGGAGGGGCTGCATATTAGAAGCCAGAATCATATGGCCTGGGCTCCAGGCCTGTCCTGCTGATCCTGCCTGGGACCCTAGGCCTCACCTCCCAGGTTTGGAACCAGAGCTTAGCATTTTCACCATTGGCGGGAGGTGTAACAATGTGCCAACGTGTGTTACTCAACCTCTCTGTGCCTCAGTTTCCCCAGCTATAAAGTGAGGGCAGTAATAGTACCTCCCTCGTAGGATGGTGTGAGGGTTAAAGCTTTAGAGCAGTGACTTGTCCAGTGTCCAGTATGTGATCATCATAATCAGTAAGTCATGTAAATGTAATTAACATGCTATTATGTTCCCCTGAGGCCCTTCTCTTCCCCCCTTTGCTTCTCCCCCTCTTCCTCTCTCTCCTTTTTCTCCCCTCTCTCTTCTTCCTCTTTATTACTTTAGCCTCCTACTTTCCATTTTCATAAATACCAGGGACATCTTTCACTCCTCTCAAGAGCCTAGTGATGAGCTGAGAAGGGAGCCTCTCGCTCCAGACAAGGCCCCTGAGGCCAGAGAAGTGACCAGCAGTCTCCTGTGGGTGGGTGCAGAGCTGGGCCTGGAGGGGGCGCCTGGCCCCCAGCACTGGGCTCTGAGAGAAGCTTGTCAGCGTGAAGGCTGGGAGGGCTGTCCTGGAGAGTCACCGGGAGCGTGTCACAGCGCCCTGTGCTGCTCCCAAAGGCTGCTTCTAGGTCCCCAGCGCCATGGGAGGGAGGGCTCCACCACACATGCAGGATGTGCATCTCTCTCTCTCTCTCTCTCTCTCTCTCTCTCTCTCTCTCTCTCTCTCTCGTCAGCTGGCCCCTGCTGTCACCAGGTCTCACTCTCTGGCCCACTGGAATTCATTTACAACATCTCAGAATGTTTCTCTTGTCAGGGCGAACTCCCGCCCTCACATTCCTGCTCCAACCACATGGTCTCTTCGGCCCATTCACACTTTCTGAGTGTGAAGGAAGTGAAATGGGCAGAAGGAAATGACTGGGTTTTCCCACCACTCAGGCCCTGTTGGCAGCTCTGTGGTGACTCTGGTGTGTGTTGTGTGGCTTTGTTTGCAGCCTCAGGTGTGCCTGTGTTTTGCACTTGGGATTTGGAAAGGCCCCCAGCCATGGGTCATCTCCTAGGGACTCAGCACAGCTAGTTTCTCTCCCTTTCCCCAATCGGACAGTACAGAGAGGTAGGCGCCTTTCTCCCCACCAGTCCCGCAGATCCCAGACGGGGCGCAAATGCAAAGGTGGGAGGGATCCTCCCCATTCTCGTCAGTGCCCATGGGCATTCAGGCAGACTCGATCGACAGGTTCTGTACGACTCTCCAGAGTGGAAACTGGAACTGTACTCTTTGGGGGGAGGTTGCTCCCGGTAGCATGGGGAGCAGAGCTCTGGCGTGACCTGGGCCCAGTCAAGAGCCACACGCTTTTGGGGATGCCACCCGTGGCTGTGCTGTTGCCTTCGGCAGCTGGGAAGACCGAGGCTTCGGGAGTTAAACATGTGGCCCCCTTGTCATGGCCTAAAGAGAGCAACAGGGAGGAGGCCCTGTCCTGGCACTGGGGGGTGGTCTGTGAAGGATGCCCCTCCCCCAGAGACTGCGGAGGGCAGGGTGGAGGACCCCTGCTTTCCCTTAAATATCACCAGTGTTTTCTTTTCTTCCTCCATCTGCTCTGCACCCCAGGGAGGAGAGAGACCGAGCGTCGGGGTATAGGAAGAGAGGTCCGAAACCCAAGCGGCTTCTGCTGCAGGTAACCGGCCAGCGTTGGTGCCCACCCACGGTCCCCATGCTCCCCGCCATTGCCCAGCCAGTTGAGCTGAACCACTCCCCCTCCTCAGCCCGCCCAGGGTGCTGTGGGCGGGAGGCCCTTGGCGGGTAAGGCCCCATGGGAGTAGTTGGGGAAAGTCGGAATGTGGGGCTGGTGCCGCAGGAAGTGGGAGGATGCTGGTGGGCAGGAGAGTGGATGTATGGCTCATGGGCTCCTAGAATTTTAGAAGCTTAGAACTTTGTAAGCGAGCCTTTTTGATATTCAGAATCCCTAAAACACAAAATTGTAATATTTGAGGTCTTTAGAGACAAAACTTGAGAACTGAGGAAGCATGAGAGCCTGGAATTCTAGAATTCCAGCAAAGGCGCCTCGGCATCCTGGACCCACCGTCGTGGAAAGTCCTAGAAAGGTGTCACCCTTTCCGGTTCCCTGCCACAGGTGGGGTCTAGACGCTGTGGCATCTGGTGCCCAGGTCTTGGGGGCACTATGCTGACCTCACTGCTTTGCACTGAAAGGAAGGTGGAGCAGTTTTGTGATTTGAGGCCATCATGTTAGGTGATTGCTTCTCTGAGCCCGAGTTTTCTCCTGTAGAAGCGGAATGGTGGACACCCGCTCTCCTTCACTTACAGCCCATCCAGGGACTGGGGACCAAAAATAAGTCTTCTTGGTCCACGTGCAGGTGTGTCAGGTCCAGCCGCCTGTCCGCTCTTGATTGTAGATCGCCTGAGGCTTTTGCAGACAGACGGCCTCCCTCACGCAATGGGCGTGTTCCTGGGCTCCGTGTAAACTGTGTCCCAGGAAGGAAAGTGATGCTCAGCTCTGTGCTCAGGGCCCTTCACAGTGGACATAAGCTCCAGGGAAGGTGTATTATCATCTGTTTCTGTGTGATGATCCCCCCTAACTAAGCAGCTTGAAGCAACAAACACCATAGTCTCCGTGGTCAGGAGTCCAGGAGTGCATTCGCTAGTTCTTCAGTGATTCTAGTTGGGTTGCAGTCATGATGTCGGCCAGGGAGCTGCTTCCGAAGTGCTCCTCACAGCACCGCTCACGGGCGTGTCAGATGTTGCAGGGCCTGTTCTTACCCTGTGGACCTCCCAGAGGGCTGCTGAGGGCCTCACAGTGGGCCACTGGCTTCCCCCAGAGTGGGCGATCCAAGCAAGAGGGAGGGAGGAGCACAGTGTCTTTAACGACCTCGCCTTGGCAGTCCCACCGCAGTGTTCAGTCCCCTCCTCCCCCGGCCCCGAAAGGGGACCCATGGGTGTGCAGTCCCAGGGCGGGTATGTTGGGGCCATCTTAGAGGCTGGCGACTACAGCTGAAGCTCTGGGAGGCCGGGAGTTTACCCAGGTCAGAGCTGTAAAGCCCAGATCTGACTCTGCTGCTCCCGGGCCCCTGATAGCAGTGCTCTCCTGGTGAGGCGGAGAAGGACAAAGATGAGTCCACCTTGCAGAATTGGGAGGGTTTACTGGGCTTGTGATGGCCTGCAAGCCAGGGTGAAGGGTTTTGATAAAGCTACATATAGGATAAGCCCAATTGCATGGCAGTATTTTCCCAATGCCCTCCCAGTTCCGCCCTCCTCCCATCACCAAGACAACCTGCACCCCACGCCCCCCGATGGGCATTAGCAGGTGGGACTAGAACGGAGCCTGCACATGTGATCTTTGCTCCCCCCTGGAGGTGTCTGGCCATGGGTCCCCTCTGATGGCCTCGCTCTCTTCCGGGAGCTCTTGCCTCTGGTGAAAGGTGGCTGTAGAAGGTACTATCCTGGGGTGATCTAGGCCCTCCCAACATTTTAGCACAAGGATCTTTCCTGGACTTGTATAAGTTACCCCAAAGCAATAAGATAAGTCCCCAAATGGCAAAACACCAGCCGTGAGAAGTGGAGGAACCTTTCTTTCAGCCCATTTTAACAAGAATGAGGCAGGGCGTCAACAGAGGCCTAGGCCTGCATACTCACTCTGCTTCCTGAACCCAGATGGGGTTCTCGTACCTCCTGTACGTTCCTCCGCGGTGTACCCCAGACCTGTGCCTGTGGCCTCCGTCCCTGAGCCCCTCACAGCCCCTGGGGAGATGAGGCTGCCCCGTGGGGCTATAGGGCTGGGACTGGCTAAGGACGGCTCTCTAGGCTGGGCTGGGGGTGGGGTGATGGCTGCCTCTGGGCCATGAAACATGGGGAAGGACCCTCCGGCGGGAGGAACAGCATGAGCAAAGGCGCGGCAGC